GCAAAATTTTTGCGTTCAAATGCTTTGTATGGTGGATTTAATGTAACATGATGCGTTCGTAAGGCGGGGGTCCACTGTATACTCTAGAATGAATAAAATAGGCTATAATATGGCAAGTGATGGTGACACTGGCAGTGGCAGAAAGCATCCACCATTTACTCTCCCACTCTTGTATCTTCCCAGTATACATATAACCCCACACCTAGCTTGTGTTTATCTATGATTAGTGGTGAGGTTGTCACATATGTAACCACAGGTGTGGTCAAGACAGATGTATATACAGGTGAAGACATGATCATTGTGGCCACAGTGGTGGTGGTGGCGGCGGCAGTGGCCAGCTGCCCCGCTTTTTTCATAGTTTCTAATCGCTTCTTGCTAATTGTATGCAAACTGTCTCTTTGGGTGAGGCATTGTGTAAGAAATTTGTATACCTACCATCCGGCTTACAACCTGCTTGACATACGACCACTCGACTTACGGCCATGTTTTGTATGCCAAATTTCTGGGAAATAGACGACTGTTTGTGTTGTACACAGTGTTTATCCTAAACCTTACAGTGTAAAACACAGTACTAACAGCATAAAAAGTTAAGTAAAAAATGAAATACCAAAATAAAAGAATAAAATAGTCATTACAAAAATGTTATGTTGACATTCAGTAGTAAGGTTCGACTTTCGTCCATTTCGACTTAGGACCGGTTGGTCGGAACCAAGCTTGGTCGTAAGTTGGATGGTACCTGTACAATATAAGACAAAATTACGCATCCCAAGGGTCTGCTGCAGTCACTCAGAGCGGCACACATCCTCTTCCTTTTGATTCTTGGTTGGCACTGAGATAGCTGTGGTCATAGCAGCTGTACCTACAGCCACCCACTGGGTTACCAATTTCTATTTTTAAGCATTTGGCACAAAAATATGAAAAAAAAAAAATACAAAAAATGTCTAAAAATGATAACATATTATTACGTATTACTGTTCTATTGTATAATTATTATTATTATTATTATTTTTTTTTTTTTTTAACAAGTCGGCCATCTCCCACCGAGGCAGGGTGACCCCAAAAGAAAGAAAATCCCCGAAAAGAAAATACTTTCATCATCACTTAACGCTTTCACCTCGCACACATAATCGCTGTTTTTGCAGAGGTACTCAGAATACAACAATTTAGAAGCATATACATAATAAAGATATACAACATATCCCTCCAAACTGTTAATATCCCAAACCCCTCCTTTAAAGTGCAGGCATTGTACTTCCCATTTCCAGGACCCAAGTCCGGCTATGTACAAATAACCTGTTTCCCTGAATCCCTTCACTAAATATTACCCTGCTCACACTCCAACAGCTCGTCAGGTCCCAAATACCATTTGTCTCTATTCACCCCATCTAACATGCTCACGCATGCTTGCTGGAAGTCCAAGCCGCTCGCCCACAAAACCTCCTTTACCCCTCCCTCCCACCTTTTTGAGGATGACCCTTACCCCGCCTTCCTTCCCCTACAGATTTATACGTTCTCCATATCATTCTACTTTGATCCATTCTCTCTAAATGACCAAACCACCTCAACAGCCCCTCTTCAGCCCTCTGACTAATACTTTTATTAACTCCACACCTTCTCCTAATTTCCACACTCCGAATTTTCTGCATAATATTTACACCACACATTGCTCTTAGACAGGACATCTCCACTGCCTCCAACCGCCTCCTCACTGCAGCATTTACAACCCAAGCTTCACACCCATATAAGAGTGTTGGTGCTACTATGCTTTCATACATTCCCTTCTTTGCCTCCATAGATAACGTTTTTTGTCTCCACATATACCTCAATGCACCACTCGCCTTTTTTACTTCATCAATTCTTTGATTAACCTCATTCTTCATAAATTCATCTGCTGACACATCAACTCCCAAACATCTGAAAACATTCATTTCTTCCATACTCCTCCTCCCCAATTTGATATCCAAATTTTCTTTATCTAAATCATTTGATACCCTCATCACTTTACTCTTTTCTATGTTCACTTTCAGCTTTCTATCTTTACACACACTCCCATATATATATATATATATTATATATAGTATATATATATATATATATATATATATATATATATTATATATATATATATATATAATATATATATGAATATATATAATATATATATATATATATATATATATATATATATATATATAATATATTTATATATATATATTATATATATATATATATATATACAGGGACCCGCATAGCGACTTAATCCGTGCAAGAGGGCTGGTTGTTATGCGAAATGTTCGGTATGCGAATGAATTTTCCCCATAAGAAATAATGGAAATCAAATTAATCCGTGCAAGACACCCAAAAGTATGAAAAAAAAATTTTTTTACCACATGAAATATACATTTTCCTACACACAAAGAGAAGGATACATGCACAATAGTAGAGTAGTACATGCCAAAAAATATATTGTGCATGTACTACTCTACTAAATGAAGAATAAATGACACTTACCTTTATTGAAGATGCAGCAATGACTGATGAGACACTGTGTCTGGGAGTGCCTTTTTCCTCCTGAGTACTGTAGGTCCTGTTTGGCATTTTCTTCCAGAACAGGCCTTATCACATGTGTATGCCACTATGATTCTTAAATCTCTCAAACCACCTTTGCTGGCTTTAAAAATTTACCAAAATGGCACTAGTTCCAGGGATTTTTCCCTGTTCACCTGGGGGTGTTAGTCAACTGGTGTGGGTTGCATCCTGGGAGACAAGATTAAGGACCCCAATGGAAATAAGTTAGACAGTCTTCGATGACACTGACTTTTTTGGGTTATCCTGGGTGGCAAATCCTCTGGGGTTAATTTGTTTCTTGGTATTCCAATAAGCCACACCAACAACGGTGTTTACAGCACCCAGCACCAGCTGACGGTGGTACAGCAGCAACAGACGATGCTTACAGCAGCAACAGACGATGCTACAGCAGCAGCAGATGAGCTACAGCAGCAACAGACGATGCTACAGCGCAGCAGCCCGATGCTACGGCAGCAGCAGACGATGCTACAGCAGCAACAGATGATGCTACAGCAGCAGCAGACGATGCTACAGCAGCAGCAGACGATGCTACAGCAGCAACAGACGATGCTACGCAGCAGCAGACGATGCTACAGCAGCAGCAGACGATGCTCAGCAGAAAACAAAAACGATGCTACAGCAGAAAGCAGACGATGCTACAGCAGCAGCAGCGATGCTACAGCAGCAACAGACGATGCTACAGCAGCAGCAGACGATGCTACAGCAGCAGAGACGGTACTACAGCAGCAGCAGCAGCAGCTGACAGTGCAGCAGCAGCTGACAGTGCAGCAACAGCAGCTGACAGTGCAGCAGCAGCTGTACCACCAATAGTAGCGATGGTTGATTGGGGTTTATTATACAACCTGGCCAGCTCGGAGACACGCACTCCACTTTCATACTTATCAATGATCTTTTTCTTCATCTCTATAGTAATTCTCACCCTTATTGCTGTAGGGTTGGCACTAGAAGCTTTCTTGGGGCCGATGGTCACTTATTTTCAGAAAAATAAACCAAAAAACACTGTAATAATATGAAATGTTCCGATTGTATGCTTGGATGTTACCGCGGAGGCTGCTGGTAAACAATGCCACCGCGGGAACATGTGAGCGTGGCTCAGGCCGCACATTGGACGCGTCTCGGGCGAAGAGCGGTGAGCGGGTTTTTGGGCGGTATGCGAGGCAAAATTTTTGCGAAAAAAGCGAGCGGTATGCGGATTGTACGGTATGCGATGCGTGCAGTATGCGGGGGTCCACTGTATAATATATATATAATATATATATATATATATATATATACACACATTTATATAGCAGGAGAATATATCCTAATCATAACACTCACCAATTTGACTGGAGATTAATGTGTATCATACTCAGAAAACCTCACTGTCTATGAAAATAACACTGGCCAGGTTACAACATAAGACTTATCCGAGGCTCCTGGAGCTGTCTTGTCCAGTTGCCTGATATCTCAAGTTATGCAGGAATGCACATCCAACAATTTCGCCTCCTATTTGAGAGGTGTCAACCCAATTTTACCTCTAGAGCACGAAAATTCTTCACATTATTAATTAACGTCTGTTGCTCTCAATTGAAAACAAACAATCATGGCGAGTGTCGTCTGCGCAGGTGCAGCTTCCCATTTTTTATGACATCAATTTTATTAAATACAGTATGGCCATCTATATACATATAACTATTGTATTTCTGGAAAATATATACAGTATTTTCCACAGTACGTATCATGTTTGTTGCTTTTCCATATCTAAGTCAAATTTTTTATATATGAGGTGTTACATATATTTGTATACAGTATGAAAAATCAGTATACAGCTAAAGTATGTTTTTATTAAAATATGTGTATAAATGCTGTTCTGAAACATTTTTAACCTAGGTTCAAATGTTCAGTTGACCTTCCTATCAGCAGTGTATCATATGTTTATCTCTGGTAGAATATGATCACATTTATCAAGTAAGTTTAAATAATTCATACAGAGAATTTTCTCCTAGTAAACAAATTCTGGTATTGACGGTGTGTTGCCTTCATTTAATCGAGCTGCCTATTTAGTGCGCTGATGCAAAGAAAAGCCCATCATCACGTGTGCGTGTTTGCTTGCTTGCTTGCTTTAACTTGCTCCTCCAGTTATACCATATCAGAGATTCTTTTATTTTTTTTCACAAAAATAGTTTTTCAATTACTAAGGCAATAACTGTCTTACTGTATATTACCTCTTCCCCATTAAAATGTAAATACAATAATTTTTTATTTAGATTTGGTTTGTTTCTCATAATATAATTTACAGACTTGAGTGAGGTACTGTATTTAGTTTATAATGGGCATTCCTCAATATGTTCTGCTGAACCTTACCAATTGCCGCCTCCCAGTACTGGATTGCTGCGAGCATGCTAACTTGTCATTGTGCATGTCTCTAGGCTATTGCGTCGAGACTTCAGCCCCAGTGAGCTTACCGGTTTCAACAATACTGGCAACGTTTGTAAGTTGGTCATATTGTTTCGTAATGCAGTTCTGTATTGTTTGTAATGTCATTCTTCATGTACTTTTGTCCAGTTTTATTATGTGTATGAAATAGTTTTATATGATGGTTTACATTTTTGAAATGCTTTAATTCCAGATATTGAAGTTTTTATGTGAATCCCATAAGTAATACTGTACTTACTACTACAGTACCCTGCAACATAAATAAACTGGACATTCCAAGATGATACAGCATTCTCCTGTCATACAACATCTTGAATTTAATGATATGAAGTTCAGATGCTCAGATTAATGGTTAAATATTAGAGCTAGTATTTCAAAGTATTATATGACTTGAAATTGCTGGTCTTTAACATTGAGATTAAACTGTAACATATCTTTTGTCATGATTTTGTTAATTTTTTACCCTCTGTTTTTTTTTTTTTTTTTTTTTTTTTTTTTTTTTTTTTTTTTTTTTTTTTGCTTGATGATGATGTAGTTGGCATCGTGATGCTTGTTTGTGTGTTTAGTTAAATATTAGGTATGTGATTACCAATGCCACAATAATCATTATAATGTAATAGCAGTTGTTTATCTCGTGTCAAACTTCTTTTTAAAGGATGCATTTTGTAAAGAGGTTAAGTAGACCTGTCACTGTTTATATACTGTAATCTTTGATGTTCCCAGGGAAATCAGAATATTGCATGAATTTGATAGGAATTGAGTATTGTACTTTTTATTATTTTATTTACACACTTGAAATATTTGTATTTGTTGTGTGATATGTAAAGTTTTGTGTGAGCTCTTCAGCATTTATTTTTTATTTGTCATAAAATATCTATTTTTAAAAATGTAACCTCTGTAGGAACAAGAGTGAATTGTTATCACATGATTTGCTTTACATCACAAATTATCTCTAAAGCTTTCCCACATGCTGCACTGCATGAAGGATCACTATTAGACTCTCTCCACTTGATAAATGGGGCAAAGCTAGATTGATCTGTACACTACTCTGATTATCTTTATTAATTATCTTCATTATTCACCTGCAGATATTCACTCATATCAAAGAATATGTTTTGTTTTGCTTGAAAAAATGTAGTGTTAATTTCACAGTAATTTTTGTTATACACTTTTGTTAAAAGAAATAACAGTGTGTAACAATATTTCTTCACTGAGTATTAAAAGGATATGAGACTGTTTCTCATTTTGATTGATTACTCTCTTTTCTTCTTTTTATAATAGCTTTTTATAAATATAGTACATATATATCAGTAGGTAAGAGACCATACAAAAGTCTAATCATACGAGATTTGTAGCCAAAGTTAATCAGACAAAGGATATTATTTGGGTAATAAGGGAAGTAAGTGTAAAAATGTATAGCCTCTAAAGCATATATAGAGAATTTGCATATTATAACAAATTGTAGTTTACATAGACATACTATAATTCCTAAATTGTTCTTGACAAGAAACCTTAGTGACTCTAGACTAGTGTATTGTACTTGGTAGCCATTAAAATTACTGAAATCAGTATTCAGTCAGTTGCGAAGGCTTTCAACTTTTCTGCAATGATCTTGTTTTATATAGATTTTTAATTTATCAAAAAAAAAAAAAAAAAAAATATTCAAGTGCAAGTGTTTCATCATATAATAACAAATTCAACTCTTATAATTTATGGGCCAGTGTTAATCATTATAAAAGCTTCATATATAATTGTAAATATATAATATTTGCAAGTGTAATAATGTGTACAGGTGAGTAATACAGTATACTGTTTAAAACATAATTCATACCTCATGCTGCAAAGAAGAATTACACATTACTAACTTTCATCTAATTTCCTGCTACCTTATCATTAAACGTTGGAGATGGGCTTGCAACTAGTGTCTTGTATCATCCTTGGTGTATTAACCTTCTCTGTGCTGCAATATAAATATTCTGCAGCATTAAACACTCGTACAGAGCTGTAACATAATTTTTGTAGGCTGCCATTTTATCTTGAATGATCTTTTATATTTTGAATGTCATTGTAATAATTTTCCAAGTGTATAACAAAATTACTTGTTAGTAACATTCTCACTTTCAGGCATTAATTGCATATCAAAGCTTAGGGGAGAACTTTGTTAACACTATTGTTGACAGCCACTTCAGAAAATTTTGAGTAGACCTACCTCTGATACTGCAGTGATAAACTTGTTTTCTTATGATGACGCTATCAGCCTCACAAATATCTTTTCAGTACATTACAAGTAATTCCAGCAGAGTAGGTCCCTGGGCATTAGTGCATGTACAGTACTGATATAGAACAGCAGCAGCACCTTTATATAAATGCTTTTCACCTGAGGCAGTTCAAACACAAGTTGCACTCTATATCGTACACATAAGTTGCAGTCAAACCTAACCTAAAGTTCAGAGAAAACACTGTAGATGATGTTTTCATTATCATGCAGTGACTCATGACTTGACAGTGATCAAAGACTAACTGAAATGCCATCTCAGTTTTCTTTTCCAAATTGTGGGTAAGCTGTAAATTGTTTCAACTATTGTATTGTGATATTTGTTCTTTTGTATAAGTTATATACTGTAAAAGTTAATAAAAAGTAAGCAAAGATAAGAGCAGAGTGTGGCATTGTTTGATAAACTTTCAACTAAAGTTGACATCTGAATGTTATCAAAGAAAAAACCTTAATGGGAGAAATGCATATGCTTTTCCATGGTTGTGATGTTATTGGGCACCACCCACCCTATAAAATATGCAATTCTTTCTCCTTTTATGATATACTGTACTTTTGTTTTGTCAATCCAGAAAAGACTGCTTCATCTCTACATTTTTGGTGTTGTGTACTAGCTTCATTAAATGCATCATCATTTCTTAAAATCTCTGTTAAAAATATTATAATTATGAAAGTTTCTCATTTATTCCATTACTACAGTGGACCCTCGGTTATCGGCCGTTCCGAATATCGGCCAACTCAGTTATTGCCTGGATTTTTGGCCGAAATTTTATTATGGTTATCGGCCATTATTTCACTTATCAGCCGTACTGGATGCTTCCACCCGCCTGCCCGCTAGCCGCTCGCGCATTCGTGAGTCAGTCTAGCTGTGTCTCTGGGCGAGTGAGGAAACTTCTGCTCATTCATCCAAACGTTTTGCTATAATCCATTGTTTTTTGTGGTTATTGGTTGAGTGCAACTGTGAAATAAGCAACCATGGGCCCAAAGAAAGTTCCTAGTGAAGTTCCTTTGATAAAGAAAGTGAGAAACACGATGAAATATAAGAAAGAAGTTACTGAAAAATATGAGAGTAGTGTGCTGGTGCTGGAGCTTGCCAGGATGTATGGGAAATCCAAATCAGCAGTTACTTCCATCCTGGCAAAGAAAGTAGAAATAAAGGAGCTAATGTTGCAAAAGGGGTAAATTTGCTAACAAAACAAAGGTCACCAATAATGGAAGATATGGAGAAGTTATTGTTCTTGTGTATCACTGAAAAACAATTAGCAGGAGATAGTACAGGTCCGCCATCACAAATCCGGCAATCAGTTATTCAGTTCCTTCAGTTATTCGGCACTAATTTTGGCTAGCATAATTTCAAATTTCCAGGGTCGCCACACCAACCTGCTGCTACTGTTTGGTGGCGCTACTTGCTGCAGAAGTCATTCCAATTTCTTTTTCTCCATTTATTGTTATAACCTGCTTGCTTTTAGCCCTAGCCATGGTTCCAATGAATAAAAGAAATGCTTCTCATTATGTAAAGCACCTACACAGTACATTATCCATTAAAGATAAGGTGGCTTTGAAGCCACTGTCGGTTTCCATGAGCTCAGTATCATGATGCAGGAGAATATGCTGTATTATTATGCTAATATCAACACTACAGCTTATTTGCCTATCACAACTTATCTAATATGACATAATAAACAATATAAATAACATAAAACATGTTAAATACTCCAGAATAAATAATATTTGGCATAACACCGAGCAGTTTGACAGAGGTATGAAGAGGATATGGTATACAAATACCATACTCCTATCCCTGTCTTGGGGGCTTACATTAGAGAAAACGCCTCTTCTAGGGGGGCTCCTTGTTGTGGTGAAGAGGCTCTTGGTCTGAGGAATTATACCTGTCGGTCTCCTTCCTCAGACCGAACCTAATTACCCCCCAATCCCCCCTTCCCTATCCCATCCTCCCCTTTTTCCTTTCCTCCTCCTCCTCCCCACCCCTCCCTTTTTCCCTTCCTTTTTGGCCTTTGGGATTTTTTCCCACAAGCACGCTAGTTCCTAGGTAGGGGAAAGGGTACCGGGGTCCATCCCATTCCATTGAGGTTCTTGGTGGTGGCGTAGTTTGCCATGGAATCTGGATTGCCTGGGTATGTCCCGATCCCTCTCCGGTATCCCGGAGGGTGACTTTGGGTGTCTCTCGGGCGACGGGTGTATCTCTGGAAGCCACCTTTCGGATTCTGGGGGTGGTGGCCGAAGGAGGTATGCTTTGTGGCGGATATCCGGCCGCCCTCTCTTTTATCCACCGAGGTAGCTCGGCAGATGTGAGGTTGCTATCCCGGATTGCTGGTTTACTGGCATGATGGGTAGGGTATGGCACGGGTTCCATGCTGTATCTACGCTACTTGTGGTGCTGAGGTCCTCTTGGGCATGGAGGGAGATTTCTGGCCCTTTTATTCCTCCTAGGAACTATCCCTCCCTGGTCCCCCCTTTTTTTATTCTTATTTTTTATTTTTATTTTCTTTTCTTCTTTCTTTCTTTTTTCTTAAAAACAAAAAGAAAGAAGTAACCTAACCATGGAGAACCAAATCCATGAACCTGCTACCCCCGGGCCCTTATTGTTACCGCACCCCTTCTTGATACCGCATCCCGTTCTGACCCCGCCTCGTCTTTGGTCCACTCTTCGGACACTCCTCATGCCTCTGTACCTCTTGCTGGTGCTGTTTCCTCACCCGCTTCAGGTACTGAGGTCTCGACTGACTCCTTCGATTTATCTGACCTCTGCTCTCCTTTGACTA